GAAGGGAAGGGAAGGGAAGGGAAGGGAAGGGAAGGGAAGGGACGGGACGGGAAGGGAAGGGAAGGGAAGGGAAGGGAAGGGAAGGGAAGGGAAGGGAAGGGAAGGGAAGGGAAGGGAAGGGAAGGGAAGGGAAGGGAAGGGAAGGGAAGGGAAGGGAAGGGAAGGGAAGGGAAGGGAAGGGAAGGGAAGGGAACGGAAGGGAAGGGAAGGGAAGGGAAGGGAAGGGACGGGAAGGGAAGGGAAGGGAAGGGAAGGGAAGGGAAGGGAAGGGAAGGGAAGGGAAGGGAAGGGACGGGAAGGGAAGGGAAGGGACGGGAAGGGAAGGGACGGGAAGGGAAGGGAAGGGAAGGGAAGGGAAGGGAAGGGAAGGGAAGGGAAGGGAAGGGAAGGGAAGGGAAGGGACGGGAAGGGAAGGGAAGGGAAGGGAAGGGAAGGAAGGGAAGGGAAGGGAAGGGAAGGGAAGGGAAGGGAAGGGAAGGGAAGGGAAGGGAAGGGAAGGGAAGGGAAGGGAACGGAAGGGAAGGGAAGGGAAGGGAAGGGAAGGGAAGGGAAGGGAAGGGAAGGGAAGGGAAGGGAAGGGAAGGGAAGGGAAGGGAAGGGAAGGGAAGGGAAGGGAAGGGAAGGGAAGGGAAGGGAAGGGAAGGGAAGGGAAGGGCCGGGAAGGGAAGGGAAGGGAAGGGAAGGGAAGGGAAGGGAAGGGAAGGGAAGGGAAGGGAAGGGAAGGGAAGGGAAGGGAAGGGAAGGGAAGGGAAGGGAAGGGAAGGGAAGGGAAGGGACGGGAAGGGAAGGGACGGGACGGGAAGGGAAGGGAAGGGAAGGGAAGGGAAGGGAAGGGAAGGGAAGGGAAGGGAAGGGAAGGGAAGGGCAGGGAAGGGAAGGGAAGGGAAGGGACGGGAAGGGAAGGGAAGGGAAGGGAAGGGAAGGGAAGGGAAGGGAAGGGAAGGGAAGGGAAGGGAAGGGAAGGGCCGGGAAGGGAAGGGAAGGGAAGGGAAGGGAAGGGAAGGGAAGGGAAGGGAAGGGAAGGGAAGGGAAGGGAAGGGAAGGGAAGGGAAGGGAAGGGAAGTGAAGGGAAGGGAAGGGAAGGGAAGGGAAGGGAAGGGAAGGGAAGGGAAGGGAAGGGAAGGGAAGGGAAGGGAAGGGACGGGAAGGGAAGGGAAGGGAAGGGAAGGGAAGGGAAGGGAAGGGAAGGGAAGGGAAGGGAAGGGAAGGGAAGGGAAGGGACGGGAAGGGAAGGGAAGGGAAAGGAAGGGAAGGGAAGGGAAGGGAAGGGAAGGGAAGGGAAGGGAAGGGAAGGGAAGGGAAGGGAAGGGAAGGGAAGGGAAGGGAAGGGAAGGGAAGGGGAAAATGATTGAGGAATTAGAAATCTAAGCACTCATAACTGACATTGCAACAGTGACTGAAGAGTGATTCATCACAATTTCTTTTTGGAACATCTCAGTAGAAATGTAGCAAGTACCTGGTTCAAAATGAACAAAAGGACATATTTCTAACATAATGAATTGTTAAATCATGCACTAATGAATGCCATGGATGGTAAGAAGTTGCATAGGCTCAAAAGTTGTTGGATGAATTCCAAGAAAAAAAGTAAATCATGTCATAGCAAATGCAAAGATATCCTCCCTGTTTTGAGAAGTCCCCAAGAGAAAACCTATGGAAACCAGAAGAAAATCTGAGGAAGCACTGCTCATGCTTGTCCTCCTACTATTCTGTTACCAACAGCACCTGCTATTGATCAGTAACAAGGTCAGGATTCAGGTTGACATCTTTATATTCTCACTCTGTATGTGGGGTTGTGAATCATAAATGGTATTCTGGCTTTTCCAAATAAACAAACACAGCCTTAGTCCTTCAGTGGTCTGAGTTCTGCAGAAACACGTCACCAGGTGGTATCTTAACTTCAGCATCTGTTAATACTGAGTTCAATAAAACTACTGATATGATTCACTTTAAACAAACCCTAAGGACAGGATTCTTGTACTATCTAAGGACACCACATGGCTGTAATGACACAAGACTTTCTGAAGACACAACAGGAGACTGGATGAACACCTTATAGGATATCTTTAATGGCAATAGATGTCTATGTTCAAGGAACTGAACTTCACCCTATCTGGATTAGCCACTGAGAAAGCCCCCAGGATTGATCCCTCTAATTCAAGCTCAGCAGCTCACATTTCTGAAAGCCTTTTTTTTTTTTCGTTAACTGTTAATGAACACTTAAATATTTTGCTGCCTTAGGACACAGAGAAGGTACTAATGTCTAAAAGCCAGAGGATAAGGTGTGCTCTGGGACCTGCACTGGAGAGCTAGAAGATCATTCGATGCACAGAATGGAAGGGAGTGATACAGACAAAAGGTCTTGGTATCTGAGCTGGAGATTCTGGGACTGCTAAAACCTTTCACAGAGTGCTGTTCCTGTGCTGAAAACTAATTTTGATTCAACATTTCATTTTAAAATTACAATTAGAGCAGATGAGACTAATAAAAATAAATCACAGATGAAAAAGTAATGCTTTGAAAGTAAAACTTTGTGTGAAATGGTTTTTTCTGCAAATTCTTTCTTGGCAAATTTTAAAATGTCAGGTTTCACATATAGCTGAAATTAAAGTAATTTTTTAAAACTGTAAACTTCTCTGTGAGAATGAATTTCTACTCTGTGTGTCTCAGAGAGAGATTCTGTGTGGGCTTGAGAAATTTAGGCAGGAACAAATAATTTCTGAAGGCAACAGAAAAAGATATAAGTGAAAGCAAATTATTGAATTTTTCACTATCAAGCAATTTAAAACTGAATTGCCCTTTAGCTGCCGGACTTTTAAATTACATATAGACCTTGCTTGGACATAAGGAGAAGGTATTCTAAATTCAAGTATCATTATGGTTGGTCAGACTGAAAAGGTAGCTTGTGCTCTCCATTTGTGGGGTCGTTTGAGACAAAAATTAGTTATATCAGAATGGGTCACTTATTTTTTGATGCCTCCAATTTCAATCTGGAATATAGACTTCTGACTCCAGAGGGAGGCAAAGGTGTTGATCTTTTCTTTTATCTGCAGGACCATACAAAGGAAGACACATGCTGTATACATAATATGTCTCTCCACAGGTAGGCCACCTTCTCTTTTCCTCTCGCTTCTTTCACCTTTCTTCTACTCTTAAAGCTCAAATCAATAGTTAAAAATAAAAAGATATTTATAGTGAGAAGACACATCATCCACTAATACCTGGCAACAGATATAGTGATTAATATACTTTGGTTTATTTGCTAGTGTTGCTTACAGAAAACCACAACAAAATAATGAGGAAAATGTAGACCAATATGTACCAAGTGAGGAATCAGCCCTGGCACTTCCTAAGTGTACCTGTCAAAAAGAGGCAGGTGCTTTAGTGGAAACCCAATGCAGTGAAGGCACGGTTGGGATTTGAATGTATGTTGACAGATCCACAAGCAAGGAGCTGCCTGGAAAGGAACCAGACAGGGAATGTGCCCAGCCTCAGTTCAGAATTCAATACCTTTGTGCATGCTGTAGTCTGGAATCAGAAGTCAGGATAGCAAACAATTCCTTTGATAAACAAGTTCCAACAGTTCAACTGATCTTTTCTTCCCCTACTCCTTTCTCAGATCCACATAGATTATAAGACCCAAACCACTTCTGCTCAGTTGTTGCAGCTCACCTGCAACCCCTTCCCCTCTCTCTCCAGGACTAGGACCTCAACCACCAGAGTCTATCTCAAAGGAACAAGTTGATACTTTATTATACCACAACCTTACAAGGAAAACTAACCAGAATTAATTCAGGAGAATACAGTATCAGCTGTCTTGGAAAAGGCACAAGTCCACAAGTCCTGCACGCCTACCTTAACTTACACCCAATAGAGCAAAAAAACCTGTTCCTTCCTGTTACAATGCCACGGAAGAAAAGAAACAGATACAGATAAACCTTAGTTAAACTTCTTTTGCCTTAGTCTGAAAAACTCCATGGCTTCAGTCAAGAAAAATAATTTCTACTTATCCCAGGGTAATATAGGTCATGACATGTTCTCATGGACAAGTTATCTCATGGGAATTAAAGTCTAGATTCATTTTCATTATATTTGGGAACTTAACAGAGGCATCTGTGTTAGGGATTTTGAGGTCCAACATGGACACAGGAAACAGAAAGACAGAAGCTTCCTCAAGAAAGAGAAATCCCTCTTGCACATGATTCAATTCACTTCCCACTCTGCCACTATTACTTCTACCACTATTACTTCTCCCCACTGTAGCTTTGTTCTCTGTCCCTCCTCTACATCCTACACAGCTGGGAGTCTTTTCATCAGTTCCTGGTAGGAACTGAAATTTCATTATGGATGGGCTGGAATAATGGCAGGTGCCAAAAGAAAAGTGATACTGGAAGTTGCTACACTCTTGTAATACTCAAAAACAATGGAAAATTTTCCTGATAGGACTTGGAAGGGAAGAAAAAACCCACTGGCTTGCTGAGTTATTTATTAGAGACATATTCTCAGCTGCAATTACCTGTTCTGTATTACAGCTGAAGGACTATATGCATTTGCTTACATTTTAGTTTGCGCTTATGCCCTAACCCCACGTAGCATTTAATGGTACGATGCTCTCCTGGACACTTGCATTTAGACAGCTCCATCAGAAGGGTTACCTGACTGATCAAGTGGGCTATTGGAAAACATGAATCATGGGGTGCTCTGAAACCAGCTTCACCACACTTGTATATAAAAAGCCTTTATTCATTCAAAGAGGGCAGACTGACTTCAGCCTTTCTTCTGTGCAAATGATTCATTCCAGGACTAATGAAACGTCAAGATTTTGGCAACCCATCCTCCCACAATCTGCCATATCAAAGGGCAAACTTACAATGACAATCTGAACTCTAAACTAGTGTTCTGATTACTATGCTAACTCGATCTTAGAAGTGGTGCAGGGACTGCAAAGATAATCATGCATGGCAGGTGAAATACACACAACGGCAGGACCATGGTTCCTGCCTCCTAGACTTCCTTCCCTTTGTTCTTATTTTCACATTGACTTCATAGGTTCTTACAAGATGTGGGACTCAGAATTTTATATAAATGAGGTCTTGAACAATGATTTGTCACTCTCCCCACAGTTGTGAGTGATTTCAACAAGCAGTCAAATCTCACACCTCCTAATGCTATATTTGGTCAGCACCACTGCACAAGTTCAAGTGGCCTGGCCTTCTAACCAAGAAAAGAACACTTAGGTAACTTGATGAAAGATAGATACACAGGAAAAATTATGCATTCAACGGATAATAACCATTTTGTGTGCTTCTACTGTACATGTCATCTGAGGATTTCAGAACACTTCTCGAATGTTAATTGAACTTTGCAATACCCTTCTGAGACACATAAAAGATGTAATGAATGCTTCAGCTCCTCAGTAAACTGTACTAACTTCCAAGAGAGAACCAAGAAATTATCTGATAGTATATAAACATTTCAGCAGGAAGTGAGAAATATCATCATATTACTTTGAAATAAAGCAAAGGGAATTCAGTAGCAGTTTATTCCACAAGCCTAAAACTTCCTTTTGCTTCAGATTCATTGAAACATTAATGAAAATACAAATCAGGAAATTATTTTTCTCTCCTATTAGCACATTTATTGTGTATTGTACGTATTTAGTAATACAAGCACCCCAAGCTCCTTCTGAAGTTCTGCTGCAGTAACAGTTCTTTCAAAAAGCGACATCCATCGCTTCTCTCCTCTACCTCCGGCATCATTTGCTATCCCCATATGGCAACTATATCAACTCTGGCTTTTGTACAATCTCCCAAACTTGTGGATCTGACATGACTGCAGCATGAAGCGATGTGGCCCCAGGAACCACCAGGTAGGTGAAGGGCTTCCTGTTGCTCTTTCCTTTCTCTTTGGCAAGCCAACTCTGTAAGACCAAGGTTCTAGAATCATAGAATCTAGAATGGTTAGTGTTGGAAGGCACCTTAAAGGTCATCTAGTTCCAACCTCCCCAACATGGGCAGGGACACCTTTCAGTAGGCCAGGTTACTCAAAGTCCCATCCAGCCTAATCTTGAACACCTCCAGGGATGGGGCATCCCCAGCTTCTCTGAGCAACCTGTTCCAGTGCCTCACCACCCTCACAGTAAAGAATTTCTTTCTACTATCTAACTCAAACCAACCCTCCTTCAGTTTAAGGCCATTCCCCTTTGTCCTGTTGCAACATGCTGTTGTAAAAAGTCCCTCTCCAGCTCTCTTGCAGTCCCCTTTAGGTACTGGAAGGCTGCTATAAGGTCTCTCTCCCTGGGGTCTTCTCCAGGCTCAACAAACCCAACACTCTCAGCATGTCTTCATAGGAGAGATGCTCCAGCTTTCTGACTATCTTCATGGATCTTCTATGGACTCATTCCAACAGATCAATGTTTTTCTTATGTTGGGAGCCACAGAGCTGGATGCAGTACTCCGGGTGGGCTCTCACAAGCACAGAGTGAGGGAAGAATCACCTCCCTTGACCTGCTGGCCATGCTGCTTTTGATGCAGCACAGGACATAGTTGGCTTTCTGGGTTGCATGTGCACATTTCTGAATTATATTGAGCTTTTCATTCACAAACACCCCCAAGTCCTTCTCCCCAGGGTTAGTCTTGATCCATTCTGCGCCCAGTGTCTTGCACTTGGGATTGTCTTTGCACTTGGGATTGTCCTGACCTATGTCCTGACCTATGTGCAAGACCTTGCCCTTCACCTTGTTGAGCTTCATAAGGTTTGCATAGGCCCACCTGTCAAGCCTGTCGAAGTCCCTCCAGATGCCATCCCTTCCCTCCAGCCTGTCAACTGCACCTCACAGTTGTGTGTCATTGGCAAACTTTCTGAGGGTGTGCTCAATCCTACTGTCCATGTTGTGGACAAAGATGTTAAAAAGTGCTGATCCCAATACCAACCCCCGAGGGACACCACTTGTTACTGCTTTCCACTTGGATGTTGAGACACTGACTGCAACTCTTTGGCTGTGACCATCCAGCCAATATTTTATCCACCAAGTGGTCCATCCATCAAATCCATGTCTCTGCAGTTAGAGACAAGGATGTCATGGGACAGTGTCAAATGCTTTGCACGTGTCCAGACAGGTGATGTCAGTTGCCCTTCCCTCATCTACCACTGCTGTAACCCTATCGTAGAAGGCTGCCAAATTTGTCAGGCGTGATTTGCCTTTAGTGAAGCCATGTTGGCTGTCACAAATCACCTCCTTATTTTCCATGTGACCTCCTTTGCCATGAGTCTTTGTCCTGGTGCTATACACATTTATTTATAGCACATTTATTTATTACCCCCTCCCAGAACTTGCAGTCTAAGTAAATCAACATACCAGAAAGATTCTCTTCCCCTGGCTAACAGTAATCAATAAGTCTTTCTTCAAGTTCCTATTGCCCTGTGAAGCTCCACTAATTTCAGCATGATTGTACCTTACTTACTCCAGCAATATCAAAGCCAAATTAGTCTTATAGTTTTCTTTATGATTAAATTATTTATGGTACAAAATGATAATGGTATCCACAAAAGGAAAAGTTTTGAATGTCATGCTAAGGTGGCATACACAAACCAGGAAAGAATAAAGCTCACACATATACTACTATTCTATGACTTCAAGTGTTTAAAATACATGAAAACATTAAAAAAATAACTGTGCAATTACAATATCCATGTATTTAGTCACCCATCAGGCAACGTTCCATTTCATTCCCTATATGTGCTCTCATTTACCTCAGGCAAGAAACACACATGCCTCTTCACTCTGTTAATTCTTGCAGGCAAAGACAACGTCAAAGTCACACTTCAGAGGCTACAAGAGATCTTAACCTAATAGACTACAGATATAAAGAGAGAAAAGATATTCTAAACTAGTTGAAATTATAGAAATTTCAATAAACAATCGTTTCTACAATCTAAAGAGTGGGAAGAGAAAGGACTATTTTTTCTGTCACTTCAAATGTCAGTGTACCCCAACAGAATACCTTTTATTGCCAGTGGCTTCTAGCATTCAGAATCTTAGCGACAAATTAAAGGTCATCTTCCTATATGTCATATCCTGCTACAAATTAGCTTTTGCAATCACTAATTGATGAGAAATTTCAAGTGCTTATTATACAGATAAGTGTGAAAGCTTCACTTGAAGTTGATTTCTTTTTACTATTGTAGTTATTTGGAAATGAATCATCTCCTATGCTCTCTTTTTAGTAACTGCAGAATACTTATAACTAAACAGAAAATAGAAAAGGAAGGGAGAACATAAATCAGAAAAATCAGGGAAAACATTTTCTTTCAAATTTTAGCTTTTATGTTGCTTAAAAATACATCAGTAAATACAGGACACACTTATGAACTTTCATCCCGTTATATTCCTAGACAAATGTAAAAACTATGACTCAGACATCTCACTTGTGTAGCTTGCTGATCCTATTATGCATTTGAAAAAGAGGCTTAGTAACTCACTGAGCAGAGTCTATGTATGCTCGCATATATTCACAACAGAACTACTGCACTCTGAATACAATAATACACCGCCATGTTCCAGTGAAATCCTATACCACATGGCACCAAAAAGGATTACTACCTGTTTGTATGTTACCTCTTGTACTTGCTGCAAAGAAATAAGTAGAGCAGGAAATAAGTGGAGCAAGAAAAATTTGCCACGAAAACTCTTTGCCCTCCTTTCACCAGGTTCCTTGCTCAAAATGGATTAGTGTGGGAACAAGGATACCACAGTTCACCTTTCTTCTCAGCCCATGAACTGTCAAGCCACAGGTGAAAGAAGGATCATCCCAAGATAGTTCTGCTTTCTGAGCATCAGGGTTTAACTCCAGCTGGCAACAAAGTACCACGCAGCTGATTGCTCACTCCCTACCCTGGTGGAATGGGGAGAAGAATTGGAAAAAAGTAAAAACTCATGGGTTGAGGTAAGAACAGTTTAATAATTGAAACAAACGTAACAATCATCATCATCATCATCACTGTAATGAAATGGAGAGAGAGAGAGAGAGGAATATAATGCAAGAAAATGAAGTGATGCACAATGCAATTGCTCACCACCCACTGATCAATGCTCAACCCACCCCCAAGCAGTGATCATCCCCTCCCAGCCAAATCCCCCTAGTTCATATACAGAACACGATGTTCTGTGGTATGGAATATGCCTTTAGCCCATTTGGGTCAGCTGTGCTGGCTATGCTCCCAGCAGGATGGGGAAGAGAATTGTAAGGGTAAAAGCTAGAAAGCTCATGGGTTGAGATACAGACAGTTTAATAGGGAAAGCAAAAGCCGCACACACAGGCAAAGAAAAACAAAGAATTCATTCATTGCTTCCCATGGGTAGGCTGGCCAACCATGCATAATGGTTACTTGGGAAGACAAAAGACATCACTCCAAATGTCCCCCCCCCCTTCCTCCTGCTTCCTTCCACTTTATATGATGATGTCATATGGTTTGGAATATCTCTGGTCAGTTCAGGTCACCTGTCTTATCTGTGTCTCCTCCCAGCTTCCCATGCACCCCCTGCCTCCTTGCCAGTGTGGCAGTAAAAGCAGAAAACGCCTTGGCTCTGGGTAAGCCCTGCTCAGCAATAACAAAAACATCTCTATATTGTCAACCTTGTGTTCAGCACAAATCCAAAACATAGCCCCATACCAGCCACTGTGAAGAACATTACCCCAGCCAAAATCAGCACACTTAGCCAGAGCAAATGGACAATGATAATTCCCAGTTCAGCAATTAAGGAGATTTACTTCCTGAGGTGAACCTTAATACCAGTCCCTATTCCAGTGAACACCATAAATACAAAATATTTAGCATCTAGTAATAAGCAGAAGCCAAATAGAAATATAGAACTTTAAATTTTGGAAAGAGGCTGTGATTTAGTGAGTGAATATCTAAACCTTTTGGTCCAATTGACCCTTTATGGCTAAACTGATGACTTGACCTTGACAAACTCAAGTTGAACTGTGTTGTATCCTACTACTCAATGAGGCAAAACAAGGTTCAGCCTCCTTCACTATTTGCAGGGATTTCTAGGACTGCACCTGGTTTTCTGAGAAACCAGAGTATGACATCAGACTCTTTATGGAATTCAAGTTTTTCCGGTGTGCCTTTTCCTTTCCTGTTGTTTGTCTTAGCCTTTAGCCCTATTTCTACCTTCTGGTCTTCACCTGTTATGTGCAAGATCTAAAGTGTAGTGCTTGGTTATAAAAACAGGCAGCCTTACAGACCTGTTTTGAAAGAAGCAAGGCATGCTGCACACAGCAAGAATGCACACAAATGCTTCAAGGAGTATTTTGAGTATTAATTGTCACAGCAGACAAATCAAGCAGGAAGCAACAATTTTTATCACAAGCTGGAAAACAGCGGATCTTATTTTACGCTCATTGATACTTACTGGGATGAAAAAGAGAGATTAATTCACTTTACAGTATCACTTACTGAGGAAAGGTTTGAAGAAAAAAGCCCATGGCATGCCTGTAGGTAATTGCTCCCAGTCGGATGTGTTACCAGTGTCTTTTGCAAGCAATGTTGTGAGGACATTGCTTTCATGACTTATATGAGCCTCTAAAATTTTCTCGCTACAAATTACTGCAGATATGGCGTTAAAGTGTGCTTCCTCCGCATGAGGAAGAATAGAGAAATAAAGGCTGTGAGGAGGTGCGCTGAATTTTTATTTTGGCTCATTCCAGTGGTGCATCAACTATGCTTATTCTTTCATGAGGGACAAACAGGATATTTGAAGGGCACATCAACAGTTTCCTCTCTTTATTCCAATTTAATATATTTTATTCAACTTAGCCTGGGGAAAAAAAAAAAAGAAAATAACAGAAAAAAATCCTAAAATATAACATTTACTCTTTGTCAAAAAACATCATATTTCTTAGAAAATGTTTTTCTAGTAATTAATCTCGATAAGCTGAACTAAGAAATTCTTAGAAATTCTCTTCTCTGCTTCTCTTCATACTAATTCACAGTCTACCTAATATAATTTTTATTAGCCCTTTGAAATCTTCTGCCAACTTCATACAGTATGCACAGTTCCCCAGTGGAATGCTATGAAACGCGGTTATTCCTTTAGATTTTCTGAATGGCAGAAGCTTCTTCAAGGAAGTTTATTTTAACATTTTACATTAACGTCAAACTTTAATTTCTGTTGATATCAAAATAGAACGTTGGTGTATGTGAACAAATATATGTAAAATCATTTGGTATCACCACTGACCTCTTACATTAGAAGCTATCTAATGTAAGCTATAAAGCTATTAGAAGCGCAAATTATCATTGAAGACTTTAAAAGTCAATAATTACCTGAAAAATACAAGTAACAACTCCTCACAAAACTCAGGAAAACATGTTAATTTTTCCAGTGATGCTAAGAAAAAGTGATCATAAACCCTTGATTAAGATACAAATTTAAAATACTGTCTTCAGGACTTATTTGATTTCAAAAAGACTCTTTTAGAGTCAAGTCTCCCCCACACAGTAAATTTTAAAACACTGACTTAACTATTACAGCATTGACCACTGTGTCCTTAGCTAACCACCTGGTCCAGCTTTCGAATAGAAAACCCGGAGTTCAGGGGTTCTTCTTTTCTTGTGCACCAAACAAGGATATTTAGGCACTTCTAAATGAGACACACAAAATCTGCTTGCCAAGGATGTGACCCACTATGTTAGACAATACAAAATGGTAAGAATAAATGTGTGACATCCTGCCCTTCTCAGTGACTCAGAGATGATGATATAAACAGGATAACATCCTCTACTTCATCCTTCTCCAAGCCAGCCTAGGAAAGGACAGCTTTGTCTTCAAAAATAAAGCTGAAAGAGACTGATTTTAGACAACATTTAGTTAGCAATTCATCACAATCATCAGCCACAGCCAGCACAGCTTCATGAGGGAGAAGTCCTGCTTGTCGAACCTGATTTTGTTCCATGACAAGGTAACCCACCTACTTGATCAAGCAAAGCCAGTAGATGTAATCTATTTGGACTTCAGCACAGTTTTTGATACCATCTCTTTCAGAATCCTTCTGGACAAAATGTCCAGCACACAGCTGAATAACCATGTTACATGATGGGTGAGCAACTGGCTCACATGCTGGGCACAAAGAGTAATAGTGAATGGGGTGACATCAGGCTGGTGTCCAGTTCTGAGCGGGGTTCCACAGGGCTCCATCTTAGGCCCTGTTCTCTTCAACATCTTCATAAATGACTTGGACGCAGGACTCAAAGGAATACTAAGTAAGTTTGCCGACAACACTAAACTGGGAGGAACTGTCAACTCCCTCAAAGACAGGGAGACCCCGCAGAGAGACCTCAAAAAATTAGAGAGGTGGGCAATCACCAACTGTACGAAGTTGCACAAGGGCAAGTGCCAGGTTCTGCACCTGGGATGGGGCAATCTCAGTTGTGTTTATAGACTAGGGAACGAGAGGCTGAAGAAAGCTCACCAAAGGCATTTGGAGGTCTTTCTAGAATACAGGGAATTACAGTCTCGCTGAATTCTCATAAAAACCAACGTATCCCTTTGTGGCAGACATTACCAGCATGATCCATAAGGATGTTGAATACCTAATATTTAAATTTAACTAACCCTTACAGTATATCGCAGCTGCAAATTAACTCCGAACAAGGAAAAGTGTACATCTCTCTGATCCAGGCAAGTCATTACGCTGTGCTGTCATCTGTCAGCTTCAGCTGCATGGTTTTTTTCAGCCCTTTCATCTTGTCTCAGTGGATTCATCTCTTGTAAGCAAACAGCAGCAAAAAGGCAATAAAGTAGAAACATAATAACACAAAGATGCAGCAATCCTTTTTTGTGCACTATGAATTTCACAATACATATAACATCAGGATATCACTATCAAAAAGGGAAAGAAAATATACCAAAGCCTTGCCAGTCATTAGATTTTAAGTTCTCTTCTTGAAACGTAGCAAAATATTGCTCTTCAGGGGGAAACAGTTCTTCCCATCAAAAACCAAAAATACCTTTGATATCCAGATAAAAATATCTTTGATATGGAAGTTGAAGATATAATTTTAACATGATACTTTTGGCTCATGAGGTTAAGCTGTTTTCCTTAGGGGGCTTTTTAAAGTAACTCAGCGTATATTTTTTTCTTCAATTGCATAAATTTAGGAATGGAATAACAGCTACTCTAATCTTGAACAGCACAGGAAAGAGCACTTTCCCAAGTCAGACCCATTCTGAGAAGTGAGACATTGAAAATTCTCTATGAAATGGTGTGAATGACTGTGACTAAACATATTGCTGCTTACTCCTTTTTGGACTATCCTCCATGTTCCTTTTGATAAAAAAACCAACTTCACTGTTGCCTGTTAAAAGACAAGGCTGAGAATCTGACTAATCTCACTAAGAGAGGTGCCAACAAAGATAAATATGCATAATGGTATAGGGAACCTTTACAAGGGGTAAGATAATTAGCTGTTTAAATCAAATCCTATCTCCTCCTCCCTGTCCATCTTTCTATTGGCCAGGAAACATTTTCAGTTTTCCAGCCTTACGAGTTTACAACTGGCTTTCCTGAGGGCTGAAGAGCATGACTTTGCCTCGAGAGCAAGCTGCCATATGTGCTCTACCTAAACTTCAAAAAATTGATATTCATATCCCAATACCAAGATTATCACTAGGGAAGAGAATTATTCAGACTTGGTATTCTCTTTTTCTGTGTCTAAGCTATAAAATTTTAGAAAGTCAGGAAGATGTAGCTCATATTATATTTTTATTAGCTCTCTACAGTTTTGTTCCCAGCACCACAGCAACCAGCAACCATATCAGATATGAGAGTCTTTATGGCTCTAGGGATGATATCAACATGGGACCCACTTTGAGGACCAAAAATTGCTAGGAAGAGATGGGATCTACCTGCAGTTGGGCAGAGGCTCACAGGCTGGCCAGTCTGTGAGGGGACCTTTGAACTAGGAATGATGGGGAGGTGGGGAGTGGATGTCCAACAAACGAGTGAAGAAGTGATGGACTGGGGCAACAAGCAAAGTGAGCAGGATGATGTGAATAGGAGATAATAAAACAAGGAAGAAAAGGGCCCACTCCAATGACATGCACACGAACAAGCAAGTGCCCATAGGAGAGAATGGTGGGGGAAGATCTAGTGCCTGTTCTGGAAAACCCACATAGCTGGATGCCTTTCTCAAGTGCTTGTACACTAACAAGCATGGCATGGGGAGGACACAGAAGGAATTAGAAGTCTGTGTGCTGTTGCAGGTTTATACTCTCATACAGCTCACATGACTGGAGAGTTGCAAGGGATGTCTACAGGCCCTTTAGGAAGGACAGGTTGGGGCAGCAAGGAGAGGACAGAGCAACAGGAATGCAGAGACCTCTGCTTAGGGGTAGATGAGCATGCAGCTGAGAGCTTATGAGTCAGTTTTATTGGGCAGACTAATGTCTTAAATGGGCAGAAGATCTGTTGACAAAGGACAAGGAAAATGCCAAGATATTCGATTCCTTCTTCATCTCAGTTTTTACAGATAAAACTGCCATTCAGCAATCTGAGGCCCAAGCCCCTTGAGAAAGTTTGAAACAAGGAAGACTTACCCTCATGGACGATGATCAAACTAGGAAACATTTAAACAAACTGGACATACACTAGTCCACAGGCACTGATGGGATATATCCATGAGTGCTGAGCGAGCTGGCTGATGTCATTGTGAGGTCGTTCCTGATCATCTTTAAAAGATCATGATGATTCAGGAAGATATTGGAGGACCAGAAGAAAGCATATGTCACTCCTCTCTTCAGGAAAGGCAAGAAGGAGGATTTGGGTAATGACAGGCTGTTTAGCCTCAGCTCAGTCCCTGGGACTGATGGAGTAAATTTTTCTGAAAACCATAGCCAGACACCTCAAGGACAAGAACATGATCAGGAGTAGTCAGCACAGATTGTTACAAAGAGAAAATCATGCCTGACCAACCTAACAGCCTTCTACAGTGAACTGACTAGTTTGGAGAATAAAAGGATAATAGTGGATTTTGTTTATTTTCTCTCTGGCAAGGTTTTCAACACTCTCTCCCATAACATCCTCACAAACTAATGAAGTATGGGCCAGATAAGTAGACAGTGAGGTGGATTGAAAACTGACTGAATGGCTGGTCTCAAAGGGTTGTGACCAGCAATACAAAGTCTAGATAGAGAACACTCTGTAGTGTAGTGTACCCCAAATGTCAATACTGGGACCAGTGTTGATTCACATCTTCATTAATAGCCTGGACAATGGGCCAGAGTGTGCACACAAGAAGTTTACAGGTGATACAAAACTGGGAGGAGTGGTTGATGCACCAGAAGTTTGTGCTGACATTTGGAGAGAGCTGCATGGGCTGGAGAAATGGGCCAAGTGGAATCTCAAGAATTTCAGCAAAAGGAAATGTTAAGTCCTGCCCCAGAGGAGTAATTACCTCTTGCACCAGTATGAGCTGGGGGCTGAGTGCCTGGAAAGCACCTTGAACAGAGCAGGCCCTCGGGGTCCTGGTGAACAGCAAGCTGACCATGAGCCTGCGGTGTATCCTCACAGCCAAGAAGATCAACAGACTCCTTGACTGCATTAGGAAGAGCATTGCCAGCACATTGAGGGAGGTGATCCTGCCACTCTATTGAGCATGGGTGACTGTAGTGGGTTTCTGTGGCTGGTGTTTTGTAGCCGGGGAGGGGAGGGGAGTGGGGGGTAGGTCAGGGTAGCTTCTGTTAGAAGCTGCCAGAAGCTTCCCCTGTCCGGTGGAGCCAATGCCAGCCAGCTCCAGGACAGACTTCCTGCTGCTGGCCAAGACCGAGCCAATCAGGAGTAAAAGTAATACCTCTGTGATAACATATCTAAGAACAGAAACGTAATGCACAGAAAGAGTTCCAGCCAGGAAGAGCAGAGTGAGAACATGGTAACAACAAAGTAGACACCGAGGTCAGTGCAGAAGGAGGGGCAGGAGGTTCTCCAGGTGCCGGAGCTGTGGCCCCTGCAGCCTGTGGCGCAGACCGTGGTGGAGCAGCTGTACCCCTGCAGCCCATGGAGGACCATCGGGGTGCAGAGACCCACCTGCAGCCCATGGAGGAGCCCATGCTGGAGCAGGCAGATATCCAAAGGAGGCTGTGACCCCATGGGAGGCCCAAGATGGAGCAGGGTCCTTCCAAAGACCTGCAGCCTGTGGAGAGAGTAGCCCATACTGGAGTAGGTTTTTCCCAGGTAGGACTCATGGCCCCTGTGGGAGACCCATGCTGGTACAGCTCATTGGTGAAGGACTGCACCCCATGGAGGAGTGACTCACGGGACAGCAGTTTGGGAAGGACTGTTGGCTGTGGGATGGACTCACGCTGGAGAGGTCCATCAAGGACTGTCTCCCATGGGAGGGACCCCACAGGAGCAGGGGAAGGACTCCTCTCTCTAAGCAGCAGCAGAAACAGCAACTGACCGTAACCCCCATTCCCCATCCCCCTGCATCACTGGGGGGGGAGAGGAGGAAGAACATGGAAGGAAGGAGGGGTGGGGGGAAGGTGTTTTTAAGATTGTTTTATTTCTCACTCTTTGGCTCTTATCCTGTTAGTAATAAATGTAAGTACTATCCCCACTTTGAGTCTGTTTTGCCCATGAAGGTAATCAGTCACTGACCTCTCCCAGCTGTTATCTCAACTCATGAATCCTTAGCTGCTTTTTTTCTCTCCTCTGTCCAGTTGCAGAGGGAGAGTGAGAGAGTGGCTTTAGTGGGTACCTGGCATCTGGCCAGGGTCAACATACTACAGTGACATACACCTGGGTCCAGTTCTTTGTTCTGCAGCACAAAAGAGACATGGACAATAGAGACTGGAGACAGTCAAGCAAAGGGCCACAAAGATGATTAAGGGACTGGAGCATTTGACACACAAAGAACAACTGAGATTGCTGGGACTGTTCAGCCTGGAGAAAAGGCAGCTCAGGAGGATCTTATCAATGTGTGTTCCTGAAGGGCAGTGTAAAGAGGATGAAGCCAGTAATGGGCACAAACTGAAATTCTATTTAAACATAAAATACTCTGTGTGTAGTTGAACATTGGAAGAGGCTGTCTAGAGAGGTTTTGGAGTCTCCATCTATTCAAAACCTAATAGGACAGCCCTGAGCACTCTGCTGTAGGTGTCCCTGGTCTGAGGGGGCTATTGGACTAGATGATTTCCAGAGTGGCCTCCTCATTTCAGCCATTCTGTGATGTCTACAATCCAGGACACTGGCACCATCCTAAGCATTTGCACAAGTACTGAGAGACAGGTTAGTTTTTTTCTTTGAAGTTGACCCCTATCTTCTCCCTTGTAAGGCAACTGAAGAACAGAATTGATGAAGACACAGAGAACCAGGTGAACATGCACACTATGACTGATGATACATTCAGGTCTGAACCACTGGTGCAACAGGTGGCTGTATGAGAACCACCCTATAAACATACAATGTGAAGATCAAACCGTGCTTGGACAGCCGCTGTTGACCAAGATATGCGCTATCTTTGACATTTTAAAATTTTTATATGTAAGAATAATTAGAATTAAAATATCCATTTATTTAAAACTTCCAATTATTCCAATTTAAGAGTAGTCATATGGGAACATGAATGATGGTAATTATATCATTACAGTTACAAAGGACAGATTTCCCTAGTGTAGATGAAAATGTATATCTTATCACTTATAAGGGCTGCAGAGGAAATAAGAAACAAGGAAGTATTTGAAAGAACAGGACATGAGTTTGAAGGATGGAGTAAATAACACAGTCCTAAAAAACATCCATAAAAGATCCTAAAAAGTTTTGGAAATGTAAGCAGGTAGAGGCAATGGAATGTTACATTTGATAAACATGTCAGACAACAGTATCCCCCAGTTAGGTTTATGGAAAGAATAATAAGCTCACACTTCACACAGGAGCAAATTGAGGCTATTTCCTCATTTGAAAATAAGTAGAGCTTATTTTCAGTTACAGATTTTAAATTCTGTAACTTTTAACTATTTCTAAAATTAACCAAAACACACATTGTAAAATTCTCAAAAACCTAATCAACATTTTCCCTCATTTTCCCTCTCCTTTTGATTTTGAAATTAGTTTATTTCTCAAAATAAAGGCATGAATAAATCAAAAAGCCAGACATCACCATGTCACTCTGCAGAGGTTTCACTAGTGTTCTTCCACTCCAAGAATCAATCTCTTTATTTTGCCACATTGCATTATTTAATTTCATTAAACAATATGGAATGCTGGGGAGGAGTATCTTGGGATTGCACAAAAATGTATCATGAGATGCTAAAGCGAGGAATTGCAGGCAGGAAAAGGGAGGGATCCAGGCCAGCTACTGGGTACACCGAGTCTATGGATGATTCCAAGGGAGCCTTGGTGTGTCCCCCTGTGTGTGTTGGTGTGGTGCTGTGGTTTCAGGGTTTCTGTGTTCAGGTGCAAACAGCTGGGATGCAGGGAGCAACTACTGGGCAGACTGATCCCAGATGTTCACTGAAGAGAACCATATGGTGTATATGTAAATATATGTTCCAACTAGCAGACTCTGATCCTGAACATCTAGAAGGGAACAGGATAAGGCTGTTGGTGCTGTTTGTGTTTCTGTTAGTGCTGAGTATCTGCCTGTGCTGATCTATGTGGCCAGCTGTGTGTATAAGTTTATATGTGGGTTCTATACAGGTGTTTGCAGGCATGACTATTGGGAATACAAGCTCAGTCTTTGGACCTGAGGACACAGAGCCGTAGCAGTCTCCCCTCTGTTGAACTACTGGATTTGGAAAGCCTAACCAATGACCAAGAATTAAACTTGCAGAGTCAAAATATCCAAGAGTTAGAAAACATAAGATTGTATGAACTGAAGTGTTCCCCGTACCATAATGTTTAATTATATCACATGCTAACTTCCTCTAGACTCTTAGGTCATTCAGTACACTGGTAGTTTTTTAGAACACCTTTCATTCTTCTCATTCAATATGTAGCTCCCACTCAGCAAATGCAAAATTATTGCTTTCTCAAGGATAGTTCTGTTAATAAAGTCCTTAAGAAAACCTAATGAACCTGCCTTGTGGCCTTGCCATATTAGAAAGTCAGTCTATATCACGGAATCATCAAGGTTGGAAGACACCTTCATCTAGTCCACCCATCAGCCTAGTCCCACTGATGCCCTTCAAACTTGTTATGCAAACACAAAAGCTATCATTCATAGCTATATTTATTAAACTTTGAAGACACATTTTATTTTTCACAAGCACAGAACTCAGAGATGTTGAAGCCTGAAGTGCTAATTTTCAACTAAAGGATTTAATATTTGCCACTCTGCAGACTACCCTTACCTGCAGAGTCACTGCCAAAATTTAGCAAGGAGACACAGGTGACCTGGGTCACTAATACAGAAGTAATGCGAATTACTGAGACTTCTTTTCTGTGAAGAAGGAAAAAGCTGAATACAGAAACTTATACTTTCCACAAAGATAGTTGACTGAAGACCAGCCTCACACATGATTTATCAATACATTATTATTATTGTTATTATTGCTGTTGTTCTGTAATTATTATTATCCATATGCTAGAAAATGAGGCAAAAAAGTTAATATCAAATTTGTTAAAGCATTCAATTAATTTTAGGGACCCATACTGTAGCAAGCATATCACATATTCCTAGCATCCCAGAATTCATAGCAGCCTTCCAGGCCATTCAGGCTGTTGGTGTCCCTCACTTCCAAACTCAGTTCTTACATGTCTACTATAGAGAAGAAAGATGTTAACTCTAAACATACCACTTTAAATGATGTGCACACAGATTTCATGCCAGAAGTCAGGATAACTCTCATTTCGCCAAGTCAGCACCCGATTCCCTCACAGCTAAACACTTCTAAGAGTGAAGGAAAAGCCCTGCTATGCTAGACCAGTGACCTGCCTCAAATGTAACCTCTTTGACACTGACTTGTACTAGACACCTAAACTGAGTTGGTTTTCCTTTGACTCCATTAGCACCTGTCCATCTCCCCTTTACTAAGGCACACCACAGTCCTACCCAAGCCTCTCAAATCCTAGAAAATACTTATGTGGATTTTGGCAGAAGGAGCCCAAGAGCTAGCCAGGCAAATAAGAGATTAGGGTAAATGGTGGTAGCTAATGAGAAGAAATGCAGAGGCCAGTGTACGGAGTGGATATACTAGCAGCCTTGATTTTTGTACCCCATCTTCCCCCTCCTTTTCACAGCCAGGTCCAGTTGTATTCAAAGGGCTAAATACTAATTGTGTCCAGGCTTACATTAAACTCTTCTTATGGCTTCGGTGCAACAAAGGGCAAGCACAGAGAGAGGCTCCTGCACACTGTGCACATACCCAGAGATGAAAGTCTTTGAGAATGGTCTAGTTTTAAAGCCTTGTTCCTCCCACTCTGTGTAGGATTAAAAATGCTATACTTCAGGTGGGGATAAAGAGACAGTGACTTTGACCATGTGAAATCTCTTGTGAGTTCTTGCTTTCATTTCCCCTTGTCCACAGTTTTTTCCAGAGACAAAATAACTCCTTTTCTAAAGCTCTTCTGAATGTGATGCTAAATGGCTCTCTCCTACCAATAAAGGATGCTGAAAATGCGCTCTCTGGCCATAAAGCAATGCATGCTATCTACTAAATGTGCCCATTAACAGCTTAGTCAATCTTCTCCTTCCATTCCACTACGGAATGAAAACAGGAATACAAATTCCCCAGATCTGTGTCCCTCTCGAAGTCCAGTGGCACCCCTTTCCCATTTCCTCTTCTTCCTCCCCACAAATATACATTGAAAGAGTGTGTGGTCAGCTCTGCTACTGTTACCTGCCCTGATCAGCACTGGTTCCCATTGCTTATGGCACAGGAGGACAAGAAGTCTTTAGACTAAAATGCCTGGGATTCTGCATCTTTCTGTTAGGTTGCAACTTGTTTCTTCTCCACTTCTTTCATTACCACTCTTGAAGTAGCAGGGGGTGCTCTGCAAAGGCTGAGCAGATACAGTAAGTGTGCGTCCATGATGAGGCAGCAGGAGCAATCACTGCCACTCTTATGTCCTTCCTGTTCACTAGGAGGTATTTTTCCTGTGTTACTAAGGTTCTCTTCTGATTTCATTAGTGAAAATAACTAGGAGCTAAGTTCTAGTAACTAATGATCAGCAGGAAAACCTGGAGTTGCACCTCTGTACTCACCCGGAACAAACTGATCACAGAAAGGTGCTGGTGCAAACAAGCAGTGTGCGAGTCAAGCACCCAGTACAATGCATGTGCAGTTGAAGTGAACGACGCTGATGTTTTCCTTATCTGTGTTATCGCACCCTATTACAATCACAGTAACATGTGTGGGAGAGCATCCTTGCAGCTCTGGCACAGAAAGTTCTCTGAAAATCCTGAGGATCTGTGAGATCCGAGTCACTTCCAAAAGACAATTCTATTCACAATCACCCCTCGTGTTGCCGTAAAGTTCATCACATTTTATTATACGGCTCAGTTATCTCTATAATCACTGAGGACATCGTTTTGTCAAGATCCCTGGATCACTACGTTGATCAGTAGCGTACTGATCTCCTCCCTGCACCAGCCTTTATCCCGCCAAGCCAATCTTCCCCGGGACTTTCTCTCCGGTGTTTGCCTCCGATGCCCGCGGCGCTCTTGTAGGGATCATTTTAAGCGCTTTGCCTTCAAGTGCCACCCGCAGGGAAGGGGGAAGCCTGCTGGCGCGCCGCCCGCTGCCCTACGCCTGCTCCGCACCAGGTGCGCCCCGGGGGACGCTCCGCTCGGGCGGGGCGGGGGAGCGGCCGCTACCGTTCCCTGCCGGCCTGGGAGGAGCGGCGACGGGCGGCGGGCAGGCGGCCCCACCGCTCCTGCCTCCACAGGCCCCTCCTTCCGACCCGCCCCGACCCGCCCGCCGCACACATGTGCCCGCACCCAGCGGCGGGCGCTCCGTCGGGGCTGGCGAGTGCTGCCACCTCCCCGAGACCGCGCCAGCAGCTCCGCGCCGGCACCGCGTCCCTCGGGCGCGGGGAGCAGGTGGCCGCGCCATGGCTGCCGCTTACCTGCTGGGCAACGGGTCCGCGCCGCTCCTCGCCGGCGCCCTGGAGGTCCCGTTCGCCGCCAACGCCTCCGCCTGCCGCCCTCCCGGGCCGCCCTGCACAGCCGCGCCGCCGGGCGCCTGGGGCAACACCTCGGCGGCGGCGTTGGGCTGGAACCGCTCCGAGCCCTGCGGTGGCGGCAATGGCAGCGCGGGCGGCGGCGGGCCCTGCGCGCCCGCGGGCGGCGGCCCCTCCGTGTTCACGGCCATCGCCATCATGGCCCTCTACTCCGTGGTCTGCGTCGTGGGGCTCTTCGGCAACTTCTTGGTCATGTATGTCATCGTCAGGTGAGTGCCGCCCTGCCCCGCCCCGCAGCCCACGGGCCGGAGCCCCGCCGCGGGGGATGCTGCGGTCCCCCTCCGGCAAGCAGCGCGTAAGGGGCCGCATTGGGGGTGCGAAGGCTCACCTTCCCCCTGCGGGGAAGGGAAAGGAGCCAGACCGGGTGATCAGGGAAGAGAAACTTGTGGGGCCGTGAGGGACGGGCGGTCCGTCAGAAACCGCTGCGGGTGCGGGGATGTCCTACGGACCCTCCGTGCTGCAGCACCTCTGCGAGCTGCCCTGGCCAACGAGGCCTGAATCCCGCACCTGTCCCCCGAGGAGGGAGGATTTAAAAGGGCGCCTGTGAGCGTATACGGGCACAGTGTGGCACACGGACAGCCGACACGCATCCTCGCGGTTTTCCACCCACCTCTCCCAAATGCACGAGCAAAATGTAAATGGCACCGCGGCCAAACGCATCTCTGTGCCCGTGTTTAGAGATGCCCGTGCATCTCTATGCCCATCTTTAGCGATCCTTTGCCTCATGTATATTGATATACATGTACATATACATACATGGGTATACACGTGTATAATAAGTACGTATGCCATGATCGCGTAGTTCCAGCGGTGCTGCGGCACTTCACAACTTTCTCTCCCGCAAGCCCACCTGGCCTTCTGCCGATCAGATCACGCGCGATAAATCCATTTTCCGTAAATCGGTGGAAAACTGATGAGAGGGAGTTTAAAGGGCTTCCTTTGCCGGTTTGGGAGCGGAGAGGGCCGAGTGGCTTCTCTGGGGGAACACTGCCACCTCCCGGGAACGACAGGGCGGGAGCGAGGTGGCAGGGAGCGACAGGACGGAGCTGACTGACTGCTCTGCCTTCTTGCTGCTCGTCGTTTCCAAACCAAGCATCCGCTGAGCCCTGAAAAGCTAAGCAGGGGAATGGGAGTGGCCCAGGGGCGCGCTCCCTGTGGGGGCAGCTCCAGCACTTCCACTTTCCCCAGGCATAGAGCGTCCTTTCTCCGTTTGAACGGTGCCTTCCCCGAGGAGTCGGGGCCGCAGCCGTCGGGCATAAGTGCCGTGGCCGCAGGAACAGAGGCTGTGTCTCGGCATCGCTTGCAGACCAGCGGCACCAGGTGGCTTTGTGGTGCGTGGGTGCAGCGCTGACGGCGCCAGCTGTAGAAAGCCGGGGGTAAAGGTGGCGGCCAAGGTTGAGTGCTGCGGCAGGGCGGAGGATGCTTCCTTCGGCACATATTGGAGATGTCACTGCAAAGCCTGTGCATCTCATAGACCTAGTGGGAACACAAGTAATATCTATCAGTGGTTCAGACTAGAGCAGTTCAGAAACCTTGTGGTTTTAACTACAGAGGCTGCATGCACAGAGCTGGGGAGATTCTCTTCTGTCCTGTGATTTTGGTCAGTCTGAGACTCAAGCTGTCCATGTGAAGATAGAGCTGCAGAAAGGCTTCTGAACGGGGGCATGATTGCAATCATTGGAGCAGTGTTGAATGCATTCCTCTGGGAGAAAAAGCAGATGCACAGTGTAACAGAGCCAGGAAAGCTGTCAGCAGAGAAATATGCCACAGGTTGTCCCTGGAATTATGTATTTATTATACTGGGCATAATCCATAATAGGTTCATATTTCTTACAGTAATTAATTGAATTACACTTGCACCGCAAAGCCAAATCGAATGAGGCACTTGTATTTAGATTTCTATCTAAAGAGAGCATCTTTCCCTGAGATGACAGCTTAAAAACAAAAACCAGAAGCAATAGAAGACAGCAAAAATATATTTTCATTTTACAGAGGAAAACACAAATTAAATGGCTTGTCCAAAACCATCCAGGAATTCAGTAGCAAAGGCAGGACTGAACCGAGATCTCCTGTGCATGAACAGCTTTTGGTATGACAGAATTCCTTCCCAATTACTATCACACAGCTGTTTAGCAATTTGGGATGAAAAAAGAGTTTACACGTTAATGATTGAACAGGATCTGTGGTTTGAGCAACATAAAAATACATTTCCTTTCTGTGCCTCTCTGTAGGTGTAGTATATCTGGACAGCAATAGGGAACTTAGTGATTTATTTTCTGTTGCAAGCTATACCAAAATGACAGTGTTTCAAATCATACAATATGTATATGTGAAATGCTGACTATATGTGCTCACATTCTTGCACCCTTGCATTCAACTACACAATAGGAGGCCAGCCTTTCACTGGATTGAATTTGGCATCATATAAAACTCCCCTTCTTTATCTACCTTCCCACCTTACCTGCTAAGGAAGAACAAAACATTGAACTTCATATTAATTTTGAGAAGAATTGAGACTACTAAAAATTAAGATGTTTAAGTGATATTGGAACCTAGTTTTCTTGAAAATACTAGGAGCTGGGAGGTAGGTGCTTAGATATTTGAAAGTCTGTCCTGCTTACCTTTCAGAGTCCAGCCCTAGTGAAAGCAACAGTAACTTCATAGTCACTGTGCTGCATTCTAATATCTCATACTTGGTTTCTTTAGAAATATTTTTTTAAATAATTATATTATTCTTATAAACATTATTATTCTTCAAACTTTTCTGCATGAAGCAGATCCAAGGATTTGGAGCCAGAGCTGTGCAGGTGCTGGCCTGATGAGGAACTATGACGATCACTCCACAGTGCCACTCTGTTATCCCTGCTGGGGCAAACAGAGGTCAGAAAGCAGACTTGTCCAAGAAGGAGTTAGAAATGTATTGTGATTATCGATATGAAAAGGCTCCTTATGCAAAGCAGGTCCATGGATTTCCAATATATACACGTTACTCTATAATTAATGCATTCTCATCCACCCTCCTCATTCTCCCAGATGGTTCTTGTTCAGCTGAATGCTTTCATCCTTGAATTAATATTTACACGTTTTATATGTAGTATGTGAGGCTGAACCTCATGTTACTAACACTGAGCTGTGTCTTTTGTCAAGTACCAAAAAATGTCTCTTAGTGACAGCAGTAATCGTTTAATGTTTTACTGACAGCCATGAATTTCCTGTAATCTGAAAAATCTGTTGATAATTTTTATTATCTATTTTCCTTATGTTCTTTGTGTAAGTGTATATTACTAATATGAACACAGTGTTGTTATGGCTGTATCAGTAGCAAATGCTACTTCTAGCTGCTGCAGAGTACAACAAGACAGTGTACAATTAGAACCATATGGCATTGCATTAATTTGCACAGTAATCTATAGGCTTTTCCAGCTTTCTCATCAAGTCGGTGGGATACTAGTCACACAATTAGAGTGGAAAGAAGAAAATGCCCTGTGATTAAGGCAATATGCTAGAAAGCTGTAATAGATCCTAGGTAAAAATCTTGAGCATCACAGGTCTGGAAGAGAGGAATAGCTCACAGAGGCCCTAGTCCTCCATGATGCCAAATGCCCTGAGAGAACTGTAATTCCACCAGCAGCCACTGAAGTTACTCCAGTTCAGAGTCATTCCTTATTTGATTTGCTATTAATTTTGTCACATATCATAAACAAAGGGGTCTCAGGTTGTCTGTGATCCTTTGCAAGGGAAGGAAATATCTTGTTTCATTAGAGTAAATGATTATACTGCTTTAAAAAAAAGCCAAAAAACCCCAAAAACCACAAAAAAACCAAAACAAAACAAAAAAACCACAGAGAGGAAAGAAGCCCTCTCTGAAATTAAGAGAAATCTTTCTACTTTTCTCAAAACAGCATCTTAATAGTGCTTTTTAAAAAAAGAGCTGGGACTGAAGCATCATCTAATCTGGAAAGACTATGGAGCACTGAAAGGTCTGATTACTTCAGCTCACTGACACTGCAGGAAAACTGTTTTACTAAGTAGAACAGAATTTGGGTTGAAATTTCAATTGTAGAAAGAATTGATATGACCAGAGGAATAAATATTCTTACATGTTCACAGAAGTGGAGAGTCTGTTTAGAGAAAAATCCTGAAACTCATCACAAGCTTGAAAGTGGCTGAAGCAAAGCAAGTTTTTCTAAAAAACAGGGGTTCTTCTTTGGAAGATGACATAGTGTTATGCAGTATGTAAGAAGACCTGTGGCATCTTTTATAGCAGCATAGCTCAGGGAACTTAGAAACCAAGAAATGCATGAAATTCCTTCTTTTCTTTCCTGTCCACAGATGCATGAACTCTGCATTTCGGTGGCATTGCTTTTGCAAGTGTGTCCTGCCTGTTCCACTGACTGCAAAGAAAAGGTTCCATCCCAGTGCTAAGAGCTGTTCTCTAAAGCCACAGCAGCTTTATCCAGTAATGTCAATTATGAATTGATACAGCTCACAGCACCAGTGGGGACAGAACTAAGGGAGTCAGATTGAGTAGAAACAGCACAGGAGCTGAATCCATCCAGCAGCATAGCAAGGGGGTGACCCTCAGCATCTTTCCTTACAGAAAGGCAGGTGTCCCTGTTTGCACACTGTTTGTGACAGAGTTTACCAACCTTTGCTAGTGGGTAAATGTTTGACTAGCAAGCAGCTCCCCTCCCTCCACCAAGATCAAGGGAAGCAGACAGATAAAACGGAATGTGTACCTCTGTATTCTCTTTTTTTTTTTTTTAATTATATTGTTACAGACATGGTCAAAATTTGACCAAAAATACATTGGGCTGAAACCTGGGGATAACCCCCATCTCAGTGAGGGAGCAGAGGCCCCTGAGGGTGAGTGAGAGCTCTGCAGCCCCACACTCATCTCCAGACCTGGTCCCAGTGAGCTCTTGCAGCAGAAGAGCATGCCGGGCTCAGGTGAACAGACCCGCTGGCTCTCCTAGTGGCTACCACCAGGCACTTCTGAGCAGAAAACAACCCTTATTGACTCAATTTCTCTTGAAAAAACTGTTTGATCCCACTGCACTTTTCCCAGAGTATAATTATGTTAATAGTGTTAAATATTTCCTGATTTTTTAAAATTTCTTTATAAAAATAAGTCAAATGTTACCACCTTTTCATGACTTCAGTAAAAGTAGAAAATACTGTAAGAAGACTGTTTATATTATGTAATTAT